GAGGCGGGGAGATGCCCTGGGGGGGGCCCCGCCGCGCTCCAGCGGAACCACCGACTGGTCAGGTTTACCTTATGAACTGGAGAGGACTGGGCTGTCCTGACTGCTCCTCCTCCTCGCCAAACAGGAGGTCAAGGCAGGACTTGAGGCCTTCCAAGAAGACAAGCTGTCCCCGCTCTCTGGCAGCTGTCAGACTGACTCCCTCGAGAGAGGAAAACATTACGTCGCAGAGCGAACAGCTTTGGAGGAAGGGTGCGAACGGAACCAAGCGGATCGACAGCCCGTTTTTATCAATTCTCATCTAAACGTGCTTAAAAAGTCAAAGCCTCAGTAGCTCCTGCACAGGGGATGAAACAAGCGGTTCTGTTACGCACGCTGGTGGACACCATCGCTCTCCTGTGTTTTGCCAGGAGATTAAAAAAACACTGATGTGGGGGCTCAAACATCCTGGAATTGCTCCTGGGAAGACAACCTCGTCGCATGGGAGAAAAACGGCTTCTTATCGAGAGGCAGGGAGAGGATGGGTACAGGCTTCTCCGGGCTGCCCCAAGGACCCCGCTGTGAGCAATTTCTTCGCCCGCCCCTCCCGGGTGGTGAAAGCCGCCGGTTTTCACTATCTGCAAATCATCGCTGCGGCAATAACGGCTCCCTGGCACAACCCAGGCAACCGGAGCGAGGCACGGCCCGGACCTGGAGAACGCCGTGGGCTGGGCGCCGCGACGCTTGCGCAACATCTGGCAGAGCAGCACGGCCGGGGCTCCCACGGGAAGCCGCCTCAGCCCTGACCCCCCTTCGGAGAAGGAGGAGGGACCACGACAAACGGCCTGGGACCGCGGCTCAACCTCAGGCAGAGATTTTCTGCCCTCAGCCCTGCCTCACCATGAGGCTGACCGAGAGCCGCGTGCTGGGAACGTCAAGCCCCAACGGAGGAAGCCTTGGCAGAGTTGCAGCAGACAGGCAGAAGAGCCCACCTGGAGGTCTAGTGCATGAACTCCTGTCTCATCCTCCTTTCTTTCATCAGCGAGGGTTACTTTCACCAACCACTCTATAGCTCCTCAGCTTACTGGTAACCGCATCGGTCCACCTTTTAGCAGAAAATGTAGTCCCCGTTACTGTCGTGATCATACAAAGGTATCTCACGCGAGCTACGTATCCTCAAACCTCAGCCAAACTGCGCGTTTCCCAGCAGGAAGAAGAGCAAATTTGCTCGACTTTCCAGTGTGGGCTGCTTCCCACGCTTCACAACGGGACTGCCGTTTCTTAAAATGGAACCAAGGAGCATTAACGCCAAGACGCGCAGCGTCTCGGCAGCCTGGAAGCAGGGCTGTTGTGCAACGCAGCAGGTAGGTGGGCAAGATGGCGAGATAGACGGTTTACAAGGAGTTCAGGAAGGTTTAGCTCCACGCAAGTATTGCCCGACAGGGAGAACTGGTGAGCCAGAGGCCAGGAGCCAGAAACAAGGATCCTGAGAAAGCAGTTCCCACATCCCCCGAGAGATGACAGCCCTTTGGGATGCTGTGAGATTTTGCACCCTCCAAAGAGGGTGGCTGAGCAGGACTGTTCAGGAACAAGGGCAAGTCCTAGGGCAGGAGCTCGTCCCTTAAGCCGGGACTGGCGTCTGCCTGAACGCTGGAAGAGGCACGCATCCGCAGCGCTGGTGCTTTTGACCAGGAACGTTTCAAGTATCACAGAAAATAAAGATTTTTTGCTTATTTCCTAAGCAATCGCGCTGGGAGCTGCCGGACAGTTGAGCACAGAGTCTGAGTCGCCCAGCAAGGGGAGGGCTCGTCGCAGCTCTTCCCCCAGGACCTCAGGCACCGACCAGGGCGCTGTGCCTGGCGCCGTCCCAACGCCGCCTCTTCAAAAGCCCTTGGAGGTTTTCCAACCATTCCCCGGTCCTCACGACACCCCCGGAGCCACCGCGCTCCCTTTGCTCACACGCGAGAGAGATGCAAAAAAAAAAAAAATACTGTAAAGCCACATCTTAAGCTTCTGACGAATGAGACAAGGGCCCGGTGGCTTTGTGAGCATGGCATGAGGACCTCCAGAGAGAAGGTCTGGTTAGGTAAGGAAGAGGCTCTCTCCAGGAAGGCTAACCCTGAGCTCCTGCAAGGCTTATCAGTTGCCACACGTTCAGTGCTAATGAGAGGACAGACAGATTTCCACTGCTTTTCCTCCCAGCTGAAATGCGAGGGGGAGAGATCCACTCATGAAGGCTGCTGCCAGAAAACGCTGCCTACGGCACTTCGAAAACAACGGATCGGAGGCAACGTCTCCCATCACGGCCAGGGGATCCTTTGGCAAGCAGAGGCTACTCCAAGGCAAAGGCCATCTGCCAAGTCCCCACCTCAGACCCAGTTATTAAATCGGCCCTGAGCTTGCCCTTCTTTTTCCTGGCTTCCCACACACGGCTCCGGGAGATCGGTCCCACCTGCCGCGCAAAG